TTGTCCATCCAGGCAGGGTCTCACACCTGCACCCACAGAGTACTGAATCAGCAGGTCTTGACCATCACATAGTCTTGGGGACACCCATCTCCACCGGCTGAAGCTGGGATTATGAGTCGGTTTCCTCACTAACCTGACGTTCACGTGCCTGCTGGGGATCAGAACTGCAGATCTCACCCTTGGACAGGGAGGGAGGCCCTTTACCCACTGAGCCAGCTCAAAAGGCTTTTCCTAGTTATCCCAGAGCCTGTGATAAAACCTTCAATATGAGCATCATTACTATCCCGCCCCCACCCTCACTCCCTGGCTGTCAATCACTGTGCCGTGATTCCTCCTGTGCCTGCTGGTAAATGCTCAGTCTTTGTGGACCACATAGTCTCCATCTCAACCCCTCAGCCCTTGGCTGCATCACAGAGGGGTCTGGAGACTGAATCTACGTGAACAGGTTTCTTTAAACATCTATCCTGCAATATTTCTGGAGTTTTGATGTGTGTGTGAGATATATCTGGGGTGGGCATGTGTATACCTGATCATGGGAGCACATGCCATTTGGCAGATCTGTTACTGAATGAGGGGACCTCAGGTAGGGCTACATACACCTTCAATGTGCTGACCCCTTACCCAAAAAAAGTCCTGATGGATATCTACCCAACATGGGGGTGTGCAACCCTTCTTCTGAGGGGCTCTGGTGGTGGCCAGTCATGGTGATCACACACAGAGCTCATTTCCATCGCCTTCCGAGTAGGAATGAAGGCTCCTGACGTGACTTTGCATTTTCCATTTCTGACTGATGTTTGTCAAACCATCAGTCCTTTGCTTTTGTTTGTTTTGAGGTGGGCTTCAGCTCTATAGCCCTAGGTGGCCTGGATCTAGCCATCCTCCTGCCTTAGTGCTGGGATGACTGCAGTGTAGGCCTGATGTGCCCCGCCTTCCCTCCATCCTCAGGAGGGCAAGGATTGCATCCTCCTGTGAGAGCAGCAGCTCCTGCCCAGAAGGCTCTAGAGTCAGGGGATGTGTGTTGCAGGATTATGACTTTAAAACCTACCGTCTGAGGAATGATGAGACTTGAAGCAGTGAATTTAAATCAAAATTCTCTGAGTTAAAATCAAATCTAATTTTTTTATTTATTCTCTCTCTCTCTCTCTCTTGCTGTGGGATGGTCTGTATGTCAAATGTGTTGCTGATTGGTCAATGAATAAATCACTGATTGGCCCGTGGCCAGGCAGGAAGTGTAGGCGGGAGAAGGAGGAGAATAGAGCTGGGAAGTGGAAGGCTGAGGGAGGAGACACTGCCAGCCGCCATCAGGACAAGGAAGATGTAAAGTACCGGTAAGCCACAAGCCACGTGGCAAGGTATAGATTAATAGAAATGGATTAATTTAAGCTGTAAGAACAGTTAACAAGAAGCCTGCCACGGCCATACAGTTTGAAACCAATATAAGTGTCTGTGTTTACTTGATCGGGTTTGAGCGGCTTGGGACTGGCGGGTGAGAGAGATTTGTCCTGACTGTGGGCCAGACAGGAAAACTCTAGCAACTCTCTCTCTCTCTCTCTCTCTCTCTCTGAGACAGGATCTTATTCTATGTCCCACTCTGGCCTGGAATTCACAGAAATCTGCCTGCCTCAGTCTCCCAAGTTCTGGCATTTTACACACACACACACACATACACACACACATACACACACACACACACACACACACACACACACACACACACACAGCACCCTTCACATAGAGATCTAATGGTTTCATAGTTCAGTGTGGTGAATATATAAATACACAAATTCCCATGATAACTAAAGGGGCAGGGCATTGCTCAGACCCACCAGCTCCTGTCTCCAAAGCCCACTCTTTAATCACTGTGGTGAATGAGGGGTGGGTCTCCTTGGCCCTCATTCATTCAGTTCACACTCTAGTGACTCTGAGAACCAGGAGCCCCAGTGTCCTGGGGTGTGAGAACTTCCACGTCCTCTCAACCACAGAACAAGTCACACTCAGCCTTGTGTTCATTCTGACCCCCAGACAATTGTGGTCTAAGATGCTGGTCTAAGATTTCAGGCTTTCCCCTTCTGAAATACCCCCAGATACACAGAGCCCATTTTAATAACAAGGCCCAGGGGTCCCCCATGTCTCCTGCCATGCTGTGGACACAACATGTCATGTTACCCCACACCAATGTAAGTCCATGTGTGATATGTCATGGCCCCATCCCATTCCTCCATGATGGAATGAGCCCTTGTGTGGACCTTTGAGAACAGAAAGGCAGCAGGGGTGTGGCTCAGCAGGGAAGGACTTTCTGGAGTGTTCCAGTGAGAGGCAGTGGGTGTGGCTCAGTGGCAGAGTGCTTCCCCAGCATGCATGAGGCCTGACATAAAAGAATCCTCCTGAGCTGCCTGTGGTTTTGATGGCAAAGTCAAGAAAACAGCCAAGGTCATCAAGGCTAAGCTGTTCTCTGTTTCCTGGGGATTCATTTTGGATGGCCTTTGTACATGGCCCAAGGTGAGGGTGAGATTGATTCCTGTCAGTGGAGATCCAGCTTTCCCAGTTCCCTCTGAAGAAGGGCCCTTCTTTTCCCATTATGTGTTCTTGGTAACGTGGTGAAAAGCCAGTTAACCACTGTGATATGTGATCTTCTCAAACATCATTTAGCCTGGTGACTCCAGAAAAAATCCACAGATAAGGGGTTAAGCTGACAGCAGGCTATGGAATGTTGCTCAGTGAAGGAAGCAGTCAGCAGACATTTCTGGAAAGGCCCCCACAGACACGTCCAGAGGTGTTTTCCATGGAGGATCTAAAGCTGGTGAAGTTGGCCATGAAGAGGAGGCATTGTGGGCCATTAGAAGGAACAACAGGGATGTCTAGAGGGTGAGAGTCATGTCTGTCACAGCAGGTCCGTCCCCCAGTTACTGACCTGAACTAAGTTTCAGAGTTGAACCCATTGAGTGTAGATGAAGTGGCTTCCTGGAGAACCGAACTCTGTGGCAATATGGTGGACAGAGCAATGATTCTCCTCAGTTGGCATGTACTACTCACTCAGTGGGTGGATGCTGGAAAGGAGGAGGCCCCTGACCTTGGGCAGAAGATCAAAGTTGAAGAGTGGGTTTGGAAACCCAAAGTGTCTGTCATCAAACCCCAAAACTTCCCTGACCAGGGTGGATGGTAAGTCAGAACCAACATGGCACTCACAGGAAGAGCAGGGATGAGCACTGTGCTTAGGGCCAAAGGGCTCTTGGGCAGGTCCAGTCTGGAGCAAGCATGAGGCTTCACAACATGGCAGTCAGACACAGTGGTGTGCAAGTGTCAACTGTGGACATCTTTCTCCATCTGAGAGATGCTCTTCAATCACCCTGTTGTCATGGAAACCTGATCCTGCCACCTTGTGGCTCCTCCCTAGGACTGCTCATCACTCATCCTGTGTCCTGCTGTTAACCTCCATGGTCTTTATCATTGGGAAGGCTCTCAGAGGTCCACACAGGGGGTCATTCCATCATGGAGACATGGGATGTGGCCATTACATGTCACATGTAGACTTGCTTTAGTGTGGGGTACATGAGGGCTCACATGATGGGTCTCCTCAGTTTGGCAGGAGACATGGGGGCCCCTCTGGCCATTGTTTGTTGAAACCTTCTCTGTGTATCTGTGGGTGTTTCAGAAGAGGCAAGACTGGAATCATAGACCAGCATCATGGGGTCCACCAAGGGCTCAGATAGAACACAGGGCAGAGTGTGGTGTATTCTGAGGTAGGACATGTGTCTTCTCATGCCCCAATAGAGGCATTGGGCTTCCTTGTTCTTGGGGTCACTAGAATGAGAACTGAATGAATGAGGGCTGGAAGCACACACACACACACACACACACACACACACACACACACACGTTATTAAGGGAGTGGGCACTGGGGACATGAGCATGCTTTGGGAGCGGGTGGCCCTGTGCAGTGTCCTGAATAAACTCTTAAGTAAGCAAAGTCCAAGAGGTGATTGCACATGTGTGTCTTTGGGGCTGACAAATGAGCTGCTGGAACCATTAGGTCTCTGTGTGTGGGGGTGGGGGTGGTATGTGTGTATTGTATGTGTATGTGTGACTGAGAACTCAGGAGACTGAGGCAAGAGGATGCCTGTGAGTTACAGGCCAACCTATGCCACATAATGAGATCTTGTCTCAGAAAGAGAATAAGGAAGTGGACACTCAATGCGATTTAACTCTGCATCCAAAGCTCGTCATCACCACAGACGACCATGTTTCTGTCTTTGTGACCACCAGAGTCACAAATTCCATGCACTTTTTTTTTCATGCACTTCCTCGAACCCCAGCCTGCATGTTGCAGCCACTGTGCATCTTCACATGCCCTGCTCACAGTCCCAGATCCCCTTGGCCATGTGCAGCTACAGAACAGCTTCTGAGTCACATGGGGCAGGTCTAGAATCTTGTCTTGGGGACATGGACAGAAGGAACCAAGGATTCCTGTCTGGGATTTATGTGATATAAGAGACCTGGAAGGATCCCAAACCATGTGGCATCATAGCTGTAGTGGATTGGTTCTGCTCTGTCCACTCCTGAGTGCTCGGTGCCTGGACCCACATGGAGCATATAATATGTGCTCAATAAATTCATCTAATTGAACCATGAGCATGTGCACACACACACACACACACACACACACACACACACACACACACACACAACTATACACCTATGGCTCACACACCCTCATCTGCTGTGGTTTATTGTTGATCAGAAATTGAACAGAACCTCCCAACAGACACAGACAGAAGTCAAGCTGGAATTCTTCCCTCCCCTTCTGAATCTCTTGTCCTCCAGAAAATATGTTGTAGGGTAAGGCAGATGAAAGAGGCCATGAGGAAGGCTGTCTGTGATGGGACAGGATGGAAGTATGGGTGGACAGGGGTCAGCAGTCTGGAATCCCTTTCTGGTCAAGGCCTGCAGCAGAGGAGCACATCCCCCTGACCCCAGAGCCTTCTGGGAAGGTGCTGCTGTGCTCACAGGAGGACACATGTCCAGTTCTCATCCACCTGAGGATGGAGGGAAGGCAGGGCCCATCAGGTCTACACTGCCATCATCCCAGCACTAAAGCAGGAGGGTGGTGAGCTCCAGGCCACCTAAAACTACCCAGCAGCAGCCCACAGCAAAAACATAAGAAAAGAAAAAAATCTAACCTGATGATATGGCACTCTAACCTCCGCCTGAAACAGAAAACACACAATCATGTCAGGATCCCGCATTCCTACTTGGAAGGGAATGTTTACGAGCCTTACATCAAAATAAAAACAAAGAAAAGAGCTAACCTGATGATATGGCACTCTAACCTCCGCCTGAAACAGAAAACACACAATCATGTCAGGAGCCCTCATTCCTACTTGGAAAGGGATGCAAATGAGCTCTGAGGGTGGGCACCAAGACTGGCCATCAGAGCCCCTCAGAAGAAGAACAGCACACCCCCATGTTGGGTAGATGGCCATCAGGACTTTTTGGGGGTCAGCACATTGAAGATGTATGTAGCCCCACCTGAGGTCCCCTCATTCAGGAACAGATTTGCCAAATGGGAGACATAGCCTAGCTCCCTGTGTGCTGTGTGACAGTCCTGGAGGCCACAGCAGCCACAGCCGCCTCCCTCCTGGGTCCCTTCTCCTTTCCTTCCTGACCTTCTGAGGTTTGCTTCCCACATCCCTGCACCCATACGAAGCTGCATCCTGAGTCCACACTTGACCTCATCTGTTCTCTAGCATCAGAAAGTCCCCCGCCCCAGGAGAGGTAAAGCCCCAGTGCAGGTCCCTCTGTGCCTCTTTGGCTGTGACACCGCCCCCGCCCCCCCCCCCCCCCCCGGCAGAGTCCCATTGACCACATGATAACAAGACAGGAAAGATGGGCTGCTCCATGGACCTGAGCACTGGCATCAGAGTCCACGGGAATCCCAGCCCCGTTTATCCTTAGCTGAGCGTCCCTGAGCCAGTGGCTTCAGCTTGCATATCCTCCTGACTCTCCCTCTGTCCTACGAGTATGTGTGTGTGTGTGTGTGTGTGTGTGTGTGTGTGTGTGTGTGTGTGTGTGTTCTGTATGTATATGTGTGTGTTTGTGTGTGTGTGCAAAAAACAGAGAACGCTATTTTCCTCAAGTATTGCCCACCTTGGCATTTGGACCACACTGGACTAGAACTCACCAAGGAGACTATGCTCCCTCATCAGCCTGTGCAGGGATCTTGCTGTCCATGCACTGGAATGTCAAGGGCATGTTACCTTGTCTGGCTTTTTTACATGTGTCTGGGGATGATATTAGGCTCCTCATCCCTACTTACGTGGCAGGTGTTTTATTGACTGAGCCATATCCCAGGCCCTGAGCCTTCTCAGCTCATCAGAAAGAGAAGGATGTTATTAAGTACGCCTTGTAGAGGACTAGTGAGGATCCAGTGAGCTAGTGTATGATAGAGAACACAGGATAAACATGTGTCAGGATCAAGTGAGTTACTGTATGATAGAGAACACAGGATGAGCATGTGTGAGGTTCCAGTGAGTTACTGTATGATAGAGAACACAGGATAAACATGTGTGAAGATCCAGTGAGTTATCGTATGATAAAGAGCAGAAGACGGAGCCTGAGCGCGAAGCAGACACTCAGCGCAGAGGCTGTCATTCCTTAAGACACTGAGTGGCAGGAACTCTGCAGGGGTGAAGTGACAATCTCTGAGACAGAGTGACTGAGAAGCAGTGTGGCAGGACAACCTACAAGCCTGGGCACCTTTGGGAAGACCACATGCTTGTTTGAATATTCTCCCAATAGATGGAGTGACCAAAGCTGTGTGCAAGGGAACAGGATGGTGACAGGTTCTCACCGGCACATCCCAGGAGCTCACTCGGGAGCCATCCCAATTCCTAAAGCATGGGTAGTCCAGCCAGGCCGTAGCCTCTCCAGCCAAATGCTGCCAGGCTTCTGGGTTCCCACCAGCCACATTCCCTGTTGGGTCAGCAGGGTCCAGGATCACAGGCCTGCAGAGCAACATTCAGAGAGGGAATTGACCAGCTGCCCAGTGTCCTAGGAACCACTGCACAGGGGCAGTGGAGGAGCCCAGCAGAGCACCTCTATCCAAATTTGTCCTGAACCCTGCCCCATGCATAGAGCAAGCATGGAGGGATCATTGCCCATGACCAGGAAGGCCTGGGTTCAAATCCTCTACCCTTCAGTAGATGTGCATCCTGGGGCAGGTTCCTCAGCCTCTCTGATCTGTGAGATGGGGAGAGTTGAACTAGCAGAAGACAACACAGGATCAAGACAGGCTCTTACCTGGGGTGACAATGCTATTGTATTGCTCAGAGTTAATTAGTCCAGCCCTGTTCTATGCCTCCCAGCCCTTATGATACTCTTACAACTGGAACATCTCAGTTCTTCCTTCATGCAACCCCCCTCCCTCTCCTGTTTGGGTCTGGAAAAGGTCAGAGCCTTGTTCTCCTCATCTGCAGACCGGAGAGCCCACCCCCATCTCCCAGGGCTGGTGGTTTTCATGTCAATAAGGGGCCAGCAGACAGGGCCCAACAAAGTGATGGGACAGGAGATGCTCCATTGATTCAAAGTTCCTCTCCATTTCCGTCTGGGTCCTCCCTGTGGGGAGCTGAGCCACATGGGGACAAGCTACCTGGCTCTTCTGAGCTGTCTGTGCAGGTAGTCAGAGATGTATTGGTCTTCAAAATCATAATACTTTGTCCAGTAGATTCGAAGCTGCCTGTACTCGGTGACCAGTTCCAAGACTGTCCGGTGCCCTGGGCTGTGTTGAACTCAGTGGCTCCACTCCCATATTCCCAGGCATAGACTGTGAGCAGCTCCATGGCATACTTGGGAGGCAGCGGCTTCCTCAGCTTCTCCTTACACTGAGAAGAAAAAGGCAATGAGAAAAATGGTCTGTCAGTCAGCTGTTGTGTGGGGACCACTTCTCACGGGGTCAATGCAGCGGCCATCTGATGTTGTCATTACAGGTTTATTGGCATACAGCCACACCCATTCATGTATGGACACCCCTGTGCTATAGCTAAGGGCAGAGTAGTTGAGATGGAGACTGTGTGGTCCACAAAGACTGAGAATTTACTGGCAGGCACAGGAGGAATCACGACAGCTTTAGCGAGAGCCAGGGAGTGAGGGTGGGGGCGGGATAGTAATGATGCTCACTATTGAAGGTTTTATCACAGGATATGGAATAACTAGGAAAAGCCTAATGAGATAACTCAGTGTGTTATGGGTCCCCCTCTCCTTGCAAGGGTAATAACTAGTGTTCAGATCCCCAGCATGCACATGAATGTCAGGCTTGTGAGGGAGCTGACTCATAATCCCAGCCTAAGCAGATGGAAATGGGGGTCCCCAGGACTAGATGAAGGTCCAGAGCTGCTGGTTCAGCACACTGTGGGTTCAAGTGTGAGATCCTGCTTGGATATAAAAGGTGGAGAGTGACTGAGGACCTGGCATCACTCTCTGGTCTCAGCATGCTTATGTACATACATGCACACACATAGGCATGTGCTCCCATGAACAGGTATACATATACTCACACCATATATATCTCTCACACATATATCAAAACCTCAGAAATATTGCAGGATGGATGTTTAAAGAAACCATAGCTTGACACATCAGGAAAATCAGAGCCATAGTAAGTAGCAGTGCATGTTAAAAAACAAACAGACTAGAGATCTATAGGTCAAGTGGGGTGTGATGGTGCACACCTTTTATCCCAGCATTAGGAGGCAGAGGTAGGCAGATCTGTGAGTTCAAGGCCTGCCTGGTCTACATAGTAAGTTTCAGAACACCCAGAGCTACATCGTGAGATCCTGTCTCAAAATAACAGAAGAAAGAAAGAGAAAGAGAAATCCTAAGATCAAAATGATACATTAACAATGAATTAGATGAAGCTGAAGAGCGAGTTAGTTGACTGGAAACTGGACTAGAAGAAATCACTCATAACAAGCATGGAAAGTCCTTCCTCCCAGGTCCTCTCTCCCCCTCCTTCTCCCTCCCTTGACTTCCCATCACCTCTCGATTCTCTGTCTTCTCTTCCCACCACTCCTTCCCTTCCCCCCTGCTCCTCATCTTTCCTCCTCTTCATCACCCCTTCCATTCTCCACCCCCTGTATAGACGGGGCTCACGGCAGACGGGCCAGATGCCATACCAGTTGGTACCAGAGCTTGACCAGGCGGATGAGACTCTTCAGCTTGGGTGGACGCTGCTTCAGGAAGTTTCTCTGGAGCTCTGTGAAGCAGGTGGAGAACTCGCCCTCCCTCCCCAGGGAGGTGCACTCCCTGATGAGATCGATGTAGATTTGAGGGTCAGGCTTGATGTAGTTGAGTTGACCTGTAAAGGAGGCTTCACTCAGTTAACACTCCAGCCCTTCTCTGGGGTTCTTGGGTATATCTGGGGTGACAAGCTCACTGGCTGTGGGGTTCAGGGAACAGGCAGAGTTTTGCCACAGCAAGCATCACTCCCCATACAGCCATGTGTCCCACTACCCCTCAGGACTGCAAACACCATGTGGCCCTGGAGAGTCCCTGCCCCCAACTGGTCCTAGTGCAGTGCCTTCCTCACAGGCCTGGAGACAGCGGTGGGTGGAAACAGCACACTGAGGTCACACACGAGAGAGCGGCAGGGTCATCTAGTGATGGCCAACCATGCTCTGGGGTCCAGTGTCTTCTGCACGGGGCTTGTCGTGTGTGTGTGTGTGTGTGTGTGTGTGTGTGTGTGTGTGTGTGTGTGTGTGTACACTCCTGCTTGTGTCAGAGTTTACGGTGGAGCAGTCTGCTGTGTTTCTATATTATGTGTCTTGGGCTTATAGTCTCTGCCCTATGTATTGTGTGTATTTGTGAGGAGGTATATACATATGTTCAGTTCCAGAGGAGGACTTGGGTGTCTCCCTTCATAGTTTGTCTCCTTCTCCCTTTGAGGCAGGGTCTCTCTGTGAATGAGGAGCTTGGCTGACATCCAGCAGGCCATGTACAGCCTGGGTTAGAGGTCAATGTGTGGTCCTTTCTGTTTAGGTGGGTGTTAGGGATTTGAACTCAGGTCCTCACACTTGTGCTGCAATTGCTCTTATCTACTAAGCTCTCTCCCCAACCACTGTGTGTTTTCAGTGCATGATTTTCTATAGTGCATAACTTAGTGTCATGTAGTTTTGTTAGCCTAGGTCCTAAGAACAATAGGGTGTGTGTGTGTGTGTGTGTGTGTGTGTGTGTGTGTGTGTGTGTGTGTGTGTCCTGAACTTGTAGAGGGGATGGGCAGCAGATAAAAGAATACATGTGGATGTGTGTCTGTGTGTGGGTGCATGTGCACACTTGAGCAGACTAGACAGGCAGCAGGCTGTGTCTTAGGTGTGTGCAGGTGTGTGGCCATGACTGCAGCAGGCCATACCATCAGGCTTGGATGCTGGCACAGGGCAAAATCACCTACTGATGGAGTTGAGGACACAGCTGGTCACTCAGCGCCCCAGGAGAGTCTCAAGTGTTTATTTTCACATAGTGGGCCCCATGGGCTAAGTCATCTTGGAGTTGTGGCTGGGGTTCTCACTTGGGCAGTCACTTACACTGCCATTTCCAAGGGGTTCACTGTGGTGGCCCTGCTTCCCCACTGGAAAGTTGCTGAGGCTGAGGAAGTCCATGACCAAGACAGGCTTCTGGGGAGCCGCCCTCCCAGCCCATTTCTGGGTCACCCCCTCTGGCCCCTCCACTCAGCAGGGCTCTAAGACCCTGCAGCTTCCCACAGCATGCTGCCCTGCTCCTGCTCCCAGGCTGGCCTCTCATTCCTGCTGCCTGAGACTCTGCACTGTGTCCATGGCTCTCCTAAGCAAGGGCAGTGGCCTTGTCTCTAAGTTAATAGCAGCAGTTCTCACAGTGGCCAGCAGGGGTGCTGTGTCCCCCCCAGATGTAAAGCCTCAACTGTTCTCTAAAGTCCCCAAGACCCCACTGTGCTCTCAGGGGTGTTCCTAGATATCTTTGGGTAGAGTTGGGCAATTTGTAATTTTGGAGCACACACACACACACACACACACACACACACACACACGCCTCAGCACAGGTCTGAGGTTTCCTTCTCTCTCATAGAAGATGCAACAGATGTTAATTTTGTTTGTTAATGTTAATCTCTGTCACAGTTTTAGAGACACAGAATTTCCACACTCAGGCACAAGAAGAGCTGATCACCGTGCAGGTGTTCTGTAGGACGACCCTGGGGCTGGGGAGACGGCTCATTAAAGGGCTTGATAGGTTAGTATAAGGACCCAAAAGCAGATTCCCAGCACCCACATAAAAAGCTGCATGTGGGGATGGGGGTCCACACCTAGATCCAAGTGCTGGGGAGGTGGAGACAGGACGATCCCTCAGGCCCACTCTCTGAACAGATAGGCAGATCAGCCAGCTCCGGGTCAAAGGTCAACCTATATCCAAACAAACCAACCAACCAGGCTGTCTTGTAGGGAGTAGAGGAAGCATGAGTGAAGTCCTGAATATATCTGAGTATATTTGTTTACAGCCTGGGAGTCCTCTCCTACAGACACCTCCTATGAGACTAGGCAACCCCTCCCCCACCTGTGCAGTCCCTAATAAACACGCTGAGGCTCCAGGTTTCCCGAGGTTGTGGGTGCAGCTCCGTCAGAGCACACACCCCACCTGACCCCAGCTGCATGCTGCAAGAGCCATGAAGGTGGACCAGCAAATTCCAGGTCAACCTCTCAAAAGGCAGGTTCCTAAGTAACCGACATCCAGGACTGGCCTCTGGTGTCTACCCACACCTGCAAACATGTGCATAGGTCTGCACACATGTGAATCCCTGCACCCCCCCCCCCACAGAAACAGAGGAGAGGATGAAGGCACATGGAAGGGCCCGCTGAGGCTCTGACTGGCTTACCCAGGACATCATAGGCGGGCAGCACATCAAACTCCACTTCCTGTTGAAGATCAGGGGAGCTCAGTTTGAAGCTGAGTACCCGGGGGTTGGACCACGGTGAACTCTGGATCTCAAACTTCACTCCTGTAGGTCTCTCACGCTGCAACTTATACAGTTGGTTCTTAATTTCCTGGATGAACTCTCCCCGTCGGCTTAACTGATCCTCAAAGCTGGTGAGATTGGTAAGGAACACCACCAGGTCGGCGTCCGACCTGCCCTTGAGAGCAGTTCCTTTGCCCGAGGAGCCGCCCTGAAAGACAACAATGAGAATGATAAGTGACAGGCAGAGCCTTGTCCAGCAGTCCAGACCCTCGGCAGCCTAGGGGTCCACCACCCAGGGTGATGGATGGATAGAGAAAGCCGGCACATACAAAGTGGAATACTAGTCAGCCCTGAAGAGTGAAATCAGGATCTATGTAGGAAAATAGATGGTTCTGGATCTCTTCGTGGTACAAGAAGTAAGCCAGACTCCGAAGGGTGAACATCAGCGTTTATCTGTGGAGTCTGTATTTAAATGTGTGTGTGTGTGTGTGTGTGTGTGTGTGTGTGTGTGTGTGTGTGTGTGTGTGTGATGATAGATGGGGGACTAAGAGGAGGTAAGGGAGGGGGTCTTTAGGAACTGAGGATCAAGGGAGGGTAATGGGGGAGACAAACAGCACATTTTCTCTCATGTGGATTCTAGATCTAGCTGCACACCGGTGACATGCAATCAGAGAGGGACTCTCTGGGGACGTCAGTGTCGGGGGTAAAGGACAGGACTGTGAGTAAATTAACACGGATTTATGAAACTATAGTCAAGATCCCCGTTGTTAGCAGAATGTTAAGAGGAATACACTAAACTTACACCACATGCTTTCACGAAGATGCCTGTAACAGTATTAAAAAGTCACAGAACAAAAGCTTAAATTTAGAGAATTGAATTCACAAAGACAAAGGTTCTGAGAAAATAATGATACTGAGGAGAGCCTCCCTAAATAAAATGCTGCACACACTCACTAACACACTGCACACCCCACAGAGTGGAGCTGGCGTTACAAACTGATATTTCAGTGGCCGTCACAGTGACTGGGAGTGAGGTACTGTTGTCACGTTGTCCCATTTCACAGATGGGACACCTGGACAGTGAGGTTCCATCAGTCCAGTCTTCCAGCAGGTGGGGGCGCTGTTCTGTTCTCTACCCTGTGCCACAGCTGGGTGGGCATGAGAACACAGGGAACAGAGAAGGTAGGTAACCCACCCCCACTCAGGGCTGCAGCCTGGCTCCTGAGGGTCCTCTCCCTCCCCATCCGGTCAGCTCAGGCTGAGGGGGGCTCACCTTCACCACCTTGGAGACCCTCACAAGGTGGACAGAACCTCGGAAGCATCTCTCCTTCAGGAAATCACATATGATGTTGATGGCCTTTTTGACCTCTGTTCGGAATCTGGTGTCGGGAAGGAGGTTGTTCTCTATGAACTTGTCCAGCTCCCTGGCCGGGGTGCTGCTGAGTTTCTGTGCCATCCTGGGGCCAGGAGTGTTTTCTGACTGCAGCTGCCTCTGGGGCCAGCCTCACCTTATAGCCACAGCTAGTTTCTGTTTCCCAGGAAGGGCGGGGCTATGCAATCAGGCCTCTGCCTCTGATGTTTATGGCGTCTGGTCTCCATGACACTCTGGTGTTCACCAGCAAGGCAGTTATTATGGATTCTCTAACCTTCATGCTGCAGGAAGCATTTTAAACATATTGGTCTGTTTTTTCCTTCTTGGTCTTCTATTGCTACTGAAGAAAAACGGTTTTTTAGCCTCCTAGACATTTCACAGCAATACACACATGTTACTAAAGCTGAAAGAGCAAGTGAGAAGCATCCAGAAGATGGCTGGCACTCAGTTCCACCATTGCTGTGGTGGGTGTGTGACAGGTGACTGGTTCACACCGGGACATGATAATGAGCTGTCTGCCCAGGCCATGGCTAGCTTGAAGTTCAGCCTTCAGGTCTCACTGTTCCCTGGGTTCTCAGGTGCACACCCATGTGGCCATCATCCAAGGCATCATACACAACAGTTTCACTGCCCTCCAACCCCCACCCGATCTGTCCATCATAAAGGATGAAGGGTTCATATTTTTTTAATGTGGGATCTCACTATGTTGCCCAGGATAGACATGAACTTGGGAATCTGCAGCTTTGTCCTCTCAAGGACTGAGGTTACAGGTATGTGCCCCTCTGCCCAGCTGTGACCACCTGCATTATCAGTCAATTGCCAAACTCCAATAACGTGGAGTGTTGACTTATACCCAGGACATATCACCATGAGGGACAAGCCTGTCTCCATGCCAAAGTCTCCCTGCCCAGCAGGAGTGGATGTTCATCATGGCAGGTGGTCCACATTTGTGATCCCAAGTCCTGGGAGGCCAACACAAAAGATGAAGAATTTGAGGCCAGCCTGGGGCTACATGATGAGACCCTGTCTCACAAAAGAGAAAAACAAGCACACACACACACACACACACACACACACACACACACACACATCCTGAGTCACTGTTGGAATCACTGCACAGAGCAAGGAATGGAAAACTGAGGAAATAACTGGAACATTGGCTCTGCTCATGGTTATGGCCACGAGCCGCGGTGGCTTTAAGGGATTTTATTTTTGAAGCAGCAGGAAGCTGTGGCTGTGTCATTCAGGTCAGAAGCCTGCCCTTAGGTCAACACAGTCTTCATGGCCTGGTTGGTAATAGAGGTCCCGTGGTTGACCCTGATCTGGTAGTTTGAATGTACTGGCCCTTCTCAATTCACAAGGAGTGGCACTATTAGGAGGTGTGGCCTTGTTGGAGGACGTGTGTCACTGTGGAGGTGAACCTTGAGGTCTCATATGCTCATCACACTGCTCAGAGTTACAGTCCACTTCCTGTTGCCTTCTGATGATGTGGCCAGCAACATATCTGCCTGCATGCTGCCATGCTCCCCACCATAGTGATAATGGACTGAACCTCTGAACTGTAAGACACCCAAACTAAACGTTTCCTTTATAAGAGTTGCCATGGTCATGGTGTCTCTTCACAGCAATAGAAACCCTAAGACACTGACCATGCCTGAGGGAACTGTGATGCTGAAGGCCCCTCACATAGGTCCTAGGATGGGATGATAAGAGACCAGCTGAGGGCCCTGAGCAGATCTGGGTGAGGGCCAAGCTAATTATACTTTAGAATATCGTATTACATTATCTCATGTGTGTGAATTTGGGGGTCAGAGGACAACTTGTAGGTGTGGGCCTCTCTCTCCCCTCCACCATTTGGGTCCCAGGATCAAACTCAGGTCATTGGGCTTGCCAACAAACACCTGTTCCCTCAGAGCCTTCTCACTGACCCTTTATGTTGTTGTACAGGATCTCATAGTAAAATAGGCCAAGTTAGCCTTCAACTTACAGCCATCCTCCTGCCTCAGCACCCTGAGTGCTGGGATTATACTGTGCCATTATGCCCAGATCGTCTCTCCACTTCCACACACTCCTGTGTGTCTTAAAGAGATTTGATGTGTCACTCAGCCCAATGAGGCCAACGCCCCTAGCCACCCTGATTGAGCCAGGGAGTGCCCAGGTCACAAGGTTTAATCCTCTTGGCTACATGCCCAACTACTGTTGGGGACACACTGCTATTCCTCATGAGCCCCTTGAAAGGAACTGACCAGCTCTGCAGAAAGTGGTTTGTGCCTCTTGGAGGCCAAAAAAACAGTGGAATTAAGAATCCTCCTCTGCATTTTGTAAAATAATTTTGATATATTCATAATATACATTCAATATATTTTTATCAAATTCACCCTCCCTTCCTCCCACACAACTCATGGTCCCACCAAATCCTCTCCCAACTTCATGTCACTTTAGTGAATAAATCAGTGAATCCAGTGAGTGTTTCTCAGATTCACACGTGGGTGAGGCCATCCACTGGGATGTGGGCAACCTGCCAGCGACCACACCCTAAGGAAAACTGACTCTGTCCCGGCTGGGTTTTATGCCAACTTGACACAAGCTAGAGTCCTCTGAGAGGCAGGAACTTCAGTTGAGGAAATACCTCCATAATAGTGACTGTGGGCTAGCAGGTAAGCAGCTCCCCTCCATGGCCTCTGCATCAGCCCCTGCCTCCAGGATCCTGCCCTGTCTGAGTTCCTGCCCTGACTGCTTTTGATGATGAACAATGACAGGGAATTGTGAATGAAATAAACCCTTTCCTCCCCAAGTTGCTTTTGGTCACTGTGTTTTATCCCAGTGATAGAAACCTCAAGACACTCTGTGCACCAGGGACCATCAACTGTCAATAGCCTCCCAGCTAGGGGAAGGGGTTTGTGAGTACCTCTCCCATCCAGGCTAGAAGGTTGACAGGCTTGATGCAGGGGACCACAGCTGTGTGAGTTCAGGATGGCAGCTGTCCTGCCATGTCCAGAAGACACTGATTGGCCCCAGTCCTCTCCCACCTTACAATCTCTCCACCACCCCCCCTTCCTCTGTGTCCCCTGAGCCTTGGGAGGAGCGGCTGTAACAGAGACGCCATTGGTGGCTGAGTGCTCCTCAGTCACACTGCTCTCTGCTTCAGTTGTGACTCCCTGCATTAACCACCTTCCACTGCACAGAGACCTCTCTGCTGAGGTCAGAGAACTACATCAGTCCCCGGGTGCAGAGATGCAGAGGGCAACCTGAAACTAGGTCCATTTGTCAAAATCGCTCCAGTACATTCATCCCTGGGGCCTGAGATCTCCCAGCCATGGCTCCTTGGTCAGATGTGCAGGACCAGGTTGGAGTTTCCCCTTGTGGAGTGGGCCTCAGATCCAGTCAGAATGTGGCCAGTGACCCCCATAACATCCCTGCCACTATTACACCCAGGGTGTATCTTGGCAGGCCAGTCCTTATTGGTAGGGTTCCCAGCTGGGTGAGTCTGTTGACGACTTTAAGTGGTAGAGAAGAATGGACAATGTTGTTCACCTGGGATGTTGTGGCTGGAAGATGAGGAAGCTGTGAAGCTGGGATGACGTACAGTTAACTAAGGTAGATTCCTTTCTAGTTGGAGCAGAGATGAACTCGTTGACCTGGAACATGCCTGCTCTGTGGTTCATCACTGAAACCTTGTGTTGCCGGAAGAAGAATGTATTTCTTCCACATAATTCTCTTCCCATAGCTGTCCGGTTGGCATGATTGTGGGCGTCACTTTCTGCTCATTTATGGGTCAACATTAGCTAGCTGGAAATGAAGACATTTCTCTATAGCTTCTGCAGGTTTCTTGAGTTCAGCTTTGAATGTGACACTGCTCACTGTAACCAGAGGGACAAGTTCAGCTTTTTCTGTCAGAATCATAAGACTGCGACAGTCAAAGGTGACAAGAGCTTTCACAAGCAGGAAGGGAAACTGCCACAAATGCCGCCGTCATCCTGCGCCTCTTCCTTTTCCTTCCAAGGAGCAGAAGGGGAGAGAGGCTTTTTCATTTTGATTTGATTTGGAGCAGCTAAATTCTTGGACAGGGCCAGGCATGGTGATGCTCGCCTTTAATTCAACCAGTGGGGAGGCAGAGCTAGGCAGATCTCTGGGAGATAGAGACCAAACCACCCCCCCCAAAAAAAAGTTACCACTCTACTTGCCCTCAATCCATATATTAATTTGGACTCCATTTGTGACATCCCACCAACCACCAGGCTCACAGGTGACTTCTGGACAGTGTGAGGTCAACTCTAATCTCGATGTTGCTTAACTCCAAGGGCTCTGCAGTGAGGTTCCATTCTCTCCCTGCAGGCATCTTTCAGGTCTTTTCTCATATTAATTTCCAGCCATTTGTTGCTATGGAGATTCATCTGCCTTCTTTGATGCCATGCTCCCTAATGGCCTAAAGCCCTCCGGTGAGGCCCCAACTCCAGACGACCCTCCCCCACTGCCTAACAGCACCCACCAACCAGGGACCAGGGACTGGACATTTGAGATGTAGGGTGTTCCAGGAGACACTGGGCTGTGAACATGAGGGGATCACAACAGGACAGTTCATAGGCAGAGTCCCCAGGAACGGGGTCCATTCCCAGTTCCTGTCTGCTGAGGAAACAGATCTCAGACCTGTCTGTGAATGTTCAAACACCTGAGAAGAGGGTGGCGTTCCTGCAGTGAGTTAGGACATAGGGGACCTTCTCGGGGACAGGCAGCCTTACAGGAAGTTACCAGACGAACCCCAAGTGCTGATACACCCCAACTCCAAGAATGTGTCCTGCTGCTGACTTTGACCCCTAGGGTGGGATGTCCCAGTTCGCCAGTCTTCATACAAACCCTGGCACACACGTGTGCATACAAAGCCCCCTCTCTGCACAGTGGCATCATGCCCAAGCTTCCCTGAAGGTGAGTCAGAGCCCAGCCTGGCCTGTGTCCAGTTTCTCAACCCTATTAGAGATTGTGACCTTAAATAAGACTGTTTACATCCTCCTCACAGGGGAGCAACCTCTTCTTTGTCAAATGGGGTTATAGCTACAGTTCCCTGGCTCTTGGATGGATTTTTGTTGTTAATGTTTTAGAGACAGGATTTCTATACTTAGCCCAGTCTGTCCTAAAGCCCTCTAGGTAGACCAGGCTGGCATCATACTCGCAAGAGATCCTCCTCCTGCCTCTGCATTCTGAGTGCTGAGATTAAAAGGCATGTGTCATTCCCAGCATCTGGGAAAGATTTAATGAGC